AATTTTTTCTTAAAAAAAAAAAAAAGGCCCCCTCCCCTCCCAGTATCCTCTCTCACTCAGCTGTTTTGTGTGTGGCAGCAACTTGGGGCTGTTCCACCCTCTGGACCTATGGCCATACTGTTCCCTCTGCCGGGAGCATCGATCACACTGCCTCAGGGCCGTGTCCTCCAAAAGGCCTTTCCTTGACCTTCCTCCTGACCTCACAGTGTGTGCGGCCTGCCCTAGACATCTCTGGGTGCTGAGCCCCCACAGACAGCCAGGCAGGGCAGGGAGCCTGGTGCTGACAGGACCACAGCAGGGCAGCACCACATATTGAATAAAGGTCTCTGGAAGCTGGCTGACTGGCTCAAATCTGAACTCCTCTTAAGTGATGGAATGAACCAGGCCCTTACTTAAACTCTCTGTGCTGTAACAGGGTGGTAAGAGTTCACATCTGAGGAATAGAGTGAATAAAATGAAGTCACTACAATCAAGCCGCTAAATTACTAAAATCAAGTAGGTTGAAGTACCAGGAAACAATTCTATTCTTGTTCTAACTAACCAGGGAAGATGAACTTTCCAGACCTGTGTCAGTCCCTGGATATACAGGCAAACCTCATTTTATTACACTTCGCTTCATTGCATTTCACAGGTGTTGCATTTTTTACAAGTTGACGATAAGACCCTCCACCAGCAAAAAAAAATTAGGACTCACTTTGTTATGGTTCTGGAACCCACCATATGTCCCACCATATGTCTGAGGCATGACTACACATCAAATCTCCAGATAACCCTGATTACCCCCCAAAGAACTAAGGAAAGAATGTTCACTATTCAGACCACCTGACTTCCATTATCCAGACCCCCAGTCACACAGATCACCATCTTGGACAAGCCAGAAGCTAAGAATGCAGGATCCATTGTTCTCAAAATGTACTTTTTACTCGAAGAACCCTCAGCTTTTCTTTCTTCTCCGGAACACTCTGGGCATTGCCTAGTTGTGTTTCCAGTTTGGAAACCCTCACACGCTTGAATAAATCTTCATTTATTTCTAGCCAAAGCCTCCTGATTTGATTTACGCTCCATCGACACATCCCACAGGATCGTCAGTGAGGATTTTTACTACACCTGGAGCACTTGCCCCCTTAGGCTCTGAGCTCCTAAAACACAGGCAGGGGCCTGATAACCTCTGCTTACTGCCAAGCACATGGCTTCCCAGGGACAAAAGGCCAAGGCCCAAAAGCAGGGCCTGCAGAAAGCAATGCCCCCCAGACCCTCACAGTACACCAACCACGGCTCAGGCCTTACCATCTTCTCCCCTCCACAGCTCACCTAGTCCCTTCTTCCAGGGAGCTCTCCTGGACTGAGCCAGCACTGCCTCTATTAATGAAGCTCTTTCTGCCAGTTAGATGGTCCCAAGGTACCAGAGACCCTTCCTGGGATATGGGTGCTCTCGCGAGGGGTTCAACAGAATCTGAAAAAATGGTGGGGCTGGGGCTTGGCCCAGGCGGGGGGACAGCAGCGCCTAGAGCCAAAGTTCCTACCCTAGGGGTTTATGGTCTAAATGAGATCAACCAGCACCCAGAGATCAAATGCAAAATTTCTGAGTGTGGGCCAAGCTCTCGTCTGCCTAGGGCCTTTCCAGATATGCTCCCTCGGCATGGACGGCTCCTTCCCTTGCTCTTCAGACCACGAGCCCTTTCTCCACTTGCAGACTGATGCTTCATAACACCTCCTTCAAGAGGCCTTATCCGATTACCTCCTAAATGAAATCTTTCAGCCCTTGCCCACTACCCCCACAGCTATGAGTGTCATTAGGCCTTGGCCTTAGCGAATCAGCAATTCAAAACCAAGGAGACAGGTGTGTGAACCAGAAGTGTTTATTGCAGAAAGCTGGCCATGGTTCCAAATGGGTAGCCCAGCTGAGGTTGGGCTTGGGGCCTCTGCCCTCGGCTGGGCAGATGAAATAGGAAAGGGTAGAAGGAGTATGTTGGCCCGGGGCCTCAGAGCTGTGAGAGGATGTTGGGGGCCAGGCTGCAGGTGAGGCCTGTGCCATCAGGCTCCACATTCAGGGACTTCACTCTACCATCATCTATCACCATGGAGAATCTGCCAGAAAGAGGACGGGGCCAGTTACAACAACCTGGGCCTGGAGGCTGGGAATGGAGATGGGAGGGTGGCAGGGGAACCCCACAGAGGACCCTCCCATTTTTACCTCTTGAGCCGTCTATTCCCAAAGAGGGACACCAACGAGTCATCCAGTAACAAATCTGTCTCCTAAGAGGAGAGGCAAAGAAAAGGGTCAGGAATCCCCAGAACAGGCCAAGCCGCCCATCTCCCCACATTGGCCGTGTCCCTCCAAGTCCATGCTTCTAAGGCCTGGCACAGGGACTGCCTGATAGGGTGGGAGTTGGGGGTACACTCACCTTCCCAAAGGCCCCCGTGGGGTCAGCCAGGAGCCGAACCTAATGAGAAAGTAAAGGTCACAAGAAAAATCTCCTGCCTGGCCCCTGACCCAAGCAGGCCCCACACCTCACCTTGCCTTCTGCGCTGTGGGCTCTTCCCCACTCTTCAGTCACGAAGACATCGTTAACACTCAGACATGCCACCACCTGGGCCCCCTTGGCTTTCAGAGCCCCTGCCTGCTCCACAAACCCTGGCAAGTGGGTCTGGGGGAGGGGAAACAAGAGTTCAGGAAAGGGACAACTGCCCCTCCGACACCTTTCATCAGACAATGAGAGCTGTGTAAACCACAGTTTCTTTTTGCCTTGGCCAGTAGGAAGCTCGCATCCATACTTAAGTGTTCTGTGGTCAAGACCGTGAACTCCCCATAGGCATAATTATGTCTCATTTACCCAAGTCCCAAATACCTTCTATTGTGCCTGCCACCCAGCAGGGTCAATAATAGGTATTGGATTTCACTGCAGGACCCTTTCTCTTGCATTCCTGGTGCCACTATCTTTTCAGAGCCTCCACTTGTTTTCTGAACACTCTTGATAGGCTTTTTAACTGTCATATCATCTACATACTATTGTTACGAGCTGCCTCAGGATGAAGTGGAGGACTTATGAACAATACAAACAGGTATACAAGATCCCAACTGCTGAGCCCCAGAAGGGCAGGACCTCACCTTGGAACAACCGGGGGTAAAAGCCCCAGGGACTCCAAACAGCACCCCTTTCTTGCCCTTGAACAGCTCTGCCAGGTTCACCTTGTTCCCAGGCTGCCCTTCATACACCACCACGGATGGGATGGCATCTCCCACCTAGAGCAAAGGACTCCAAGGTAAGGGTCAGAGAGTGGGGGTCAAGTAGGGAGGGCAAGGACAAGGCAGCAAACCCGAGCCAGGGAGACAGGGGGCCTGGCAGCTGTGCTTGGTGGAGCCAGGGTTGACAAAAGTCAGGAAAATCCTGTCAGTTTCCAGAGGCCCCTCCCCTCTACCCTGACTGCCTGGTTTCGCCACATCCTCCAGGTTTCAAGGTGGCTCAATTCCTCTTGAGGGCCTATTGGTGACAACCGAAAAAAGGAAAGAAGGCCTCCACAGTGTCGCAAGGAGTTGAGTCAACAAGCTGAGTTACGGGAAAGAAGTGGGATGATTGAGCAGATGGAGGGGGGAGGGGGATGTATTATGGAGGAGAGGAGGAGGCCAGGAATGGAGGGAGAGGACCCTGGCCAGGTCTGGGTGCCCCACTCTCAAGAAGAGAAAAAGGGAGGGGGCAGAAGAAGGTGGGGAGGGGGAGGGGTACAGGTCCCTACATCCAGGGGGTATAGAATGAAAAAAGGAATCTCTTGAAGGGAGAAGCACCAGTGTACCTGGGAGTGTGTGAGGGCTTCTGGGCAGGAGCAAGACAAAAGGGCAAGTCAGGGGATGGGGAGAGTCTCTAAGAGAATCCCAGTGGTTGAGAGTAGGATGAAACAGAGGGAGGAGAAGGTCTCAGAAGAGTGGGGCGGGGGGAGAAGGCAATTCCAAGGAGCTGGAGATGGTTCAAGATGAGAGGAGTTAAGTCAGCAGAAGGGCGGGAATTAGCCGTGGGTGGAGTGGAATGGGGACGACACACTGGGGACTCTATGAGACAAAACTTGTTTCAGAAAACGGGATCAATAACTTGACAAAAGCATGAGGGAGGGTATGACGGGGGCAGGGGGGGTATGTATTGGGGCTGAAAAGGGACCTTGGGGCAAAAGAGAAGGCTCCAGATGGTGGGGGAGACCATGGTATTCAATTGCCTGAAAATGGTGGAGACCCATCGCAGGATGTCGCAGACTAGTTGTGGAAAAGAAGCCTGGAGAGCCTCGGGGACCGTTCCAGGAGATGGTGCATGAAGCCCTTAAAATTGGCGAGAACGGTGGGGCACCCAACGGGGTCTTGTTGTGGGGATAAGGGGGACAGATGGTGGGAGAAGACTCTAGGATGGCGGGGAGAGGTCCGTAGGGCGAGAAAGAGGGAGGTCAGAGGGGTTTGGGGCTGGGGGCCATTGCCTTCAGCAGCACAAAGGGCCTTGGGGGGATGGGCGGGGGTAGGGGGTCAGGCCGGGCCCGCGGTCACCTTGATCGGGGCCATAGCTGCAGCGGCGCTTCTGAAACAGCGGGCCCTGCCAAGTGTCCACTCTAGGCCTCCTTCCAGGTACGCTCTGGCTCCCGCCGCTACCGCACACTGGACGGCGGCTGCCCGGACGAGTAGTGAGCCGGTTCGGAGGCCCAGGACGTACATCCCCGTCTGCTACACGCCCAGCTCTGTGGTCACAACCGTACCGCCCCCACCAAGGGGCGACTGCAGGAGGCGGGGCCTGGAGCGCGAAACAGCCGCAGAACCCTGCAAAAGGCGGAGCTTCAACCGACCGCCCGGGGCGGACCGCCTCTACTGCGTGGAGGGGCGCGTCAGGGGCGGAGTTTCCAGCAAATAGCATTAGGGGCTGGACCACTGGCGCAGTTATAAATGGGCGGAACTTTCGGCAGCTGCGCAGCTTATTTGCATGCAAGGACGGGGTGATGGGCCTAATTGACAGATTGGGGCAGTTTCCTTCCTTAACTGAAAGCGAGGGGTGGGAGACGACGGTGTGAGGCGCCTGTGTAGGAGTAAAACATATTTTGCATTCAACGAAGGCCCCTGCATTGCGGCTATCTTACATATGACTTGCATTGTACATGCTTTGTAGCGAGTGGAGGTTTGGCTCAGTCAAAACCACTGGGCCTGGGCCGTAGCAGCATTCTACACGAATGCTTCCGTTGGCTACGCAGGACCCAACCAGCCCTTGGCGCGGTAGCTTGGCCCAGGCGCGCACCAAAAGTTCCAGCAAGTTCGCTGTTTCCGCTCCTCCCAGTCGTCCAATAGGATAGAGAGCGGAGCGGCCCCGGAAGTGACGCACCGGAGTGGCGGCCCTTTTCCGGTTCCGGTCTGGCGAGAGAGCGTTGTAGCGACATGAAGCTGCTTACCCATAACCTGCTGAGCTCGCATGTGCGAGGGGTGGGACCCCGTGGTTTCCCCCTGCGCCTCCAGGTACCGCCGGGGGACAGGCTTGAGCCCCTCTTCTGGAATGGATAGGGGAACCAGGCTCTGGTTTCTAACTAACTTAAACCCCTCCGCCCCGCAGGCCACCGAGGTCCGCATCAATAATGTGGAGTTCAACCCGGACTTCGTGGCGCGTATGATACCCAAGGTTGAGTGGGAGGTGCTTCTGGAAGCGGCTGATCACGTGAGGACCCGTGGGGTGGGGGGTGGGTAGGGGTGGTCTCACTGCAGCCTTTTGCACCAAGCCAGGGTCTGGGATCCCCAGAGACGATTTAGTCTTCTTGCCCACAGTTGCATCTGATCGAGGTGCCCAAAGGGCCGATTCAGGGGTATGAGCAAGATGAGACATTTCTGAGGAAGATGCACCATGTGCTGCTGGAGGTGAGAACTGGCCCATCACTTGCTTCTGCCACGCAACCAGGCACCCCCAGAGGCTGCCAGTGCTCAGCTCTGTTTCCTTCTTCCCCGAAGGTGGAAGTGTTGGAGGGCACCCTGCAGTGCCCAGAGTCTGGACGTATGTTCCCCATCAGCCGCGGGATCCCCAACATGCTGCTGAGTTCAGAGGAAACTGAGACTTAATGGAGCCAGGCACCGGTTTTTCATTCTGTGACGGTGTGTAGTTTTGTGTATATCCTGTTTGTTTTGTGACATGTATCCCCCGTTCTTGACCCAGTGACACACCACACACATTGTTCTTGAGCTCGATATATTTTTTTCTCATTAAAGGTTCAAAACCAAAAGCGGTTTCGTTTTGCAACAAATATACATTAAAATAGAGTCTCTGTACAGCCAAGAGCTCTGGGCCCTGGCTTGCCCCATGTCCCTGCGCCTCCCTGGCCAAACCCAAAAATAAATATAGTGTTATTGCTCTGCAGGGCATAGAGGCAGTGCTCTCCCAACCCCCTGAGGAGGCTGGGTGGGAGCTCATGGGGGGCCCTGGCCACACCAGGGGTCCAGGGGCTGGAGCCTGCTTGGAGTTATTGCTTCAAGGGGGGGCAGTAATGCCCAATGCAAATGATGAGAGGAGCGAAGGGGGCAGGGGCCTTTGCTCTCCAAGTTCCCCTCTGCCCTAGAGAGGGGGTTGGATTAAGCAGCAGCAAAAGCATCACCCACTGGGAGACTGTGGCCTCCACTCCCTTCCCTCCCTGAGATCAGGCTTCTGCCCCCCCACACATCCCCTGCAGCCCCCTATGGCTTCCGCAAGGCCCCCCTACAGTCTGGGGGCACGTTATGGCTTGCAAGGGGCAGCACTATGCCCAGAGCCTGGGCGCACACATTCCCAGCTTCTAACACCCCTGAGGAAGGGGGAGGGGAGGGCGTAGGGCCTGCTCCCAGGGGCTGATGGTATTGCCCTGGCCCTACCAGCAGGCTGTGGCACTGCCCAGACCCCAGCTCTGCCCCCTTGGGGCTGACCCCATGCTGGGAAGGTCCTGCCAGCACCCCCACCCATGCCTACCCCTTGCCTCAGTCCATCATGGCCTCGAGCATCTCCAAGAACAGCTTGTGCATGGGCACCTTGCCCTCCAGCTTCACCCCATAGAAATGGGCCAGCACTTTGCCCGCTGTCTGGCGAAGGAGCGGTAGCGTGAGCAGCAGCCTGCCTGCCCTCCGCCGCTCAGCACCCCCTCCGGGGCCCGCCCGGCCAGCTTCATACTCCAGCAGGGCCTCATGGAGAGCTTCTCGGAGCTGCTCCACCGCCTCAGCATCTTCAATGTGCACAGAGTCTGAAAGGGGAGGGGAGAGAGCTGTTGGCATGGGCCATCTCCAGGAAGGGCAGAGCCCACATCTGCTTGGGTACTGCTAGATGGGCCTCCACCGGAGCCAGACCCGGATTTGCTGATTGGCTGACTGAGGCACCACTCATGGCTCCTACCCATGAGGCAGGACCCACCCTTTGAACTACGGCTCCCTTTTGTCCTCCCTACTTTCCCTCCCATTAAATCGTTCACCTTTCCACGTAAGTATGGCGGCACTAGAGCTCAAAATCCTATGTGCAGTTCCTATGCCTGCGTTTGTCTGCCTTGCTTTGTGGCTTTCAGCAAGTCACTGTTCTTCCCCATGCCTCAGTTTTCCTTGTCTGCAAAATGGGGCTGTGCCACCATCAGAGTTGTGGAGGGCTTAAGGGAGACCTGTCAGTGCCTACCCAGACTCACCTGAATTGGCAAGGGCCAGGGCCTTCAACAGGACATACTCCTCCCGCTCCAGCCGCAGGGCCTGTAGTCGCCGCACTAGCTGTAGCAGGGCGGCCCCAAGTTCCCCCAGGCCAGCTGCTCGCGCCCCCTCTTCATCTAGGACTAGGTCCTCAGCAAAGGCCAGCTCATCCTGCAGCGGCAGTGAGCGCTGGGCCACGCCCAACACCAGTACCTCCATCCATACACTCTGCAGTACTGACATCTGGTCAGACAGCGACAGTGATGAGAAGCCTGGAGGGCAGTGGAGAGCAGACCTGCCTGAGCAGATGCACCAGGGCCGGCGTGGCCTGGCCCACTGGGGGAAGCCCTGCCATCACCTGGCCCTTTACCTGGGATACTCTTGGCCCAGCTGATGGTGACCACAATCTCTCGGTCAAAGAGGTCACAGAGGGTAGCCACAGCTGGGAGGTGTCCATCGGGGCCCGCTGGGTCAGGCATGGCATACAGCTTCTCAGGCTCCACCACCAGCAGGTGGGACACCAGTGCATTCACCGGGGCTGCAGTGACAGTTGGAAGAGGAACTGGAATTCATCAACCTGTAGCCTCTTCGGGGTCAAGCATCTTCCCACAGTCAGATCCCCTGTGGCCTTCCTCAACAGCCACTGGCCAGCAGGCTCAGACACCTCTGGGAAAGGCTCTCCCTATCTCCCAGGAGAAGCCAGTCTGTTTGTAGACAGGTTCTGAGTATTAGAAAACCTGTCCCCATTCCCAGTTGTACTACTCAAGAGACTGAGACAGAAAAAGGTATTTTCAAAAATACTTCTTGGGGCCGGCCGAGTGGCGCGATGGTTAAGAACTCGCTTGGGATGCCAGAGGGCCCCAGTTCGGATCCCACATATGAGGGCCAGTGACACTGCCCTCCACAGCTAAGATGCTGAACAACAGCTCAACCTGGAGCTGGGCTGCCATGAGTCGCCGGCGACGGCGTGGGCTGCAGTCCCTGTGGCAGTGGATTGCCATGGGCTACCGTGTGTGGCCAGCAGCCAGCGTGAGCGGCCAGCAGCCGCAGTGAGCGGCCGTCCAGAAGCCGGCGACTGATCTGCCTCGCCAGAGAAGAGCGCAATGATGGTGCCAACTTGGGCCAGTGAAGCAACGTCCTCCACAACTAGACTGAGGAACAAAACGACAGCAACTTGTCTGTTCCCAATTCCCCAGCACTGTTCCCATCCCCCCAATTTCCCAATAAAAATCTTAAAAAAATATATATATATACTTCTTGGAGTTAATGAATAAGTGAATAGATGAAGGGAAAATTTGGGTTCCAGTGCCCAAGATTACTACCCTAGATGAATGACACAAGATAGGTCTCTCGTGTCCTAGCCCCACCCCGACCATCGAGCTCCAAGGACCCACAGCACTCTCACCTGTCTTCCGAGGGCCTCCAGCTACTGCCAGGGGTCCAGCAGGGAAGGGGCCTGGGAAGGGCAGCGGGTCCACCTCTGGCCGCCGCTTGTACTTCTGTCGCCCACCCCGGACACGGTCCAGACGTACCCCTTGAATCATAGGACAGGGCTGTGTCCATGGAGCTGGGGGTGGCTTGCGTTGCGGAGCCCTCCTGCCCAGTCCATCCCACCAGAACTTCTCAGGCCTTGCCCTCTCGGGCCCCAACTCCCCCAACCCTTGCCAAGGCCCCTGCCCAGTGCTCACCCTCCTTGAGCATGCCCACCCGCAGGCACTTGGTGAAGCGACAGGCCTGGCAGGCCTTGCGTCTCCGCTTGGTGATTTCACACTCGTTGGAGGCCGGACAGCTGTACTCGATGCTCCCTGCCAGGAAGAGGCAGGGCTCCAGTGGCGGCCTCCCAGGGCCTGGAGGGGGCCCAGCAGACAGGAGAGCCCTGACTCGCCCCGGGCAAGCACAGGTCTGGGGAGAGCAGGAGTGCCGTGAGTGGGGCAGGGAAGCCCGGGGCAGTGAGGGGAATGGCTGCTGCGCTGGGGGCCCCTGTCTGGGCAAGAGAAAGGCTAGGACCAGGAGAACCAGGCTGCATCTGTCCCAAGCCTCTTGTCAAGCCACGTCTCCCGGCTCTACTACCTTCATCTGCTCTCCTCAAGGGCACAATGGCCTCTCTGTTGCTACCCCCGATGGTCAATTCTTATCCTCATCTTACATGTCCTAAAGGAGCATCTAACATCATTGAATTGCATCCTACTAGAAACTTTTTGTTTCTAGGACACACTGCTGATTTTCCTCCCACCTCACTGGCCACCTTGTGGTTTTTGTGCATTTTCCTGACTCCTTCCATTGAAGAACCCCAGGACTGTCCTTGGATTTCGTCTCCACTGACTCACTCCCATGGTGATCTTACCCAGTCATGGGCTTTCAAATTTATCTCTCTTGCCTAGACCTGCCTGAACTCTAGACTCATATGTCACTGCCTCCTTGACATGTTGCATGTCTATAAGGCCTCAAAAACCTAACCTGTCCTAAATGGAGCCTGCGATCTACCCTCCAAAACCTGTAACTCCATCTGCCCAGGTGCCCAAGCAGAAATCTAGGATACATCTTTGATTCTCTGACACCCCAAATCCAACCCACCAACTGATCCTGGTGGGCTTCACCTCCTAATATGTCCAGAAGCCAACCTCTTCTGCCCCTGGCAACTGCTTCCACCCTTGACCTGAGTCACAGTCACCTCACCTCGTCACTAGCCTGCTGTCCTTGCCTCCTTCAGTTACTCTCCACAAAGCAGCCAAAGGCATCCTATTGAACCTAAGTCAGATCCTGTCCCTCCCCTGCTCAAAACCCTCCACTGATCTCCTTTCTCAAAGTAAAAGCCCATGTAAACCCCGCAGCCTGAGGCCTACGCCCCTGGTCCTCACCCCCTTTCTGACCTCTTGCACTCTGCTCTGGCTCCAGGCCCCGGCCTCAGGGCCGCCCTTCCCTTCTTCAGATCTCTGCCCGTTGTCACCTCAGGGATGCCTTCCCTGGCCACTTTGTGAGAATGCCAAATGCCCTCTGTGGACACCTCCAGCCACTTGTCCCTGCTTTATAGTTTCTCATCAGCTCTCAGCACCATCTAATATGCAACATATGTACATATTTATCTTCTATATTATCTGTCTCCCCACTTTACTGTCAGCTTCACGAGGGCCAGGACTGGCCCCAGCGCGAGAAACAGGGCCTGGTACATAGTGGGTTCTCATAATAACCAGGTGAATGAATATATGGCAGCCCTTCCCAGCCTCACAGGGCTCCTGCAAAAACTGAATGACACAACCAGCCAGCACTTACTTCACTGACACGTTTCTTCTCATAGCCCTGTCTCCTACACCCTACCCAGGCTTCCAAGCTCAGTTCAAGACACCTCCTCAAGGAAGCCCTCCAGAGCCCCAGACCCAGCCAGGTTCCTGAGCACACACCCTGCTCCCAGCCCTCCAGCATTTACTATACTATAACAGCTATACTATACTATACTACAGCAATACCATAACAATTATGCGCAATTCATTATTTTCTCCTCCCCCCCCCTAGAATGGCAACTGTTTGTGGGTGGGGTGGTCCTGCCTTAGTCCCAGCTATGTCCACACGCCTGAACAGTGGCCAGAGCAGCAAAGCACAGGTTTGTGAAGACTATGGAAGCTGCCAGGGGCCCATCGTGACACTTCCACTTAACCAAATGTATGACCTTGAGCAAGCGCCATACTTAAGCCCTCAAACCTTCAGTTTTCCCATCTATAAAACTGGTGTGATACAAACAGTACTTACAAGTGAGGGCTGTGAGAATTCAAGGGGGTAATTGAGGTTAACACATTTAGCATGGTACACAACACCTAAATATTCAATAAGTGATTACTATTTATAGCAAGTACTCAATAAGTATTTGTCAACTGAGTCAACAGAGAATGAAAGGTTCCAGGGTGGGTAGGAGACACCTGGATCTGGACCTGTTGGCTCACTGGTCTTCAGAGCCAGGAGGGAGCACAGAGGTTTTAGACCAGTGGGTCTAGGCCAAGTCAAAACTTGCTGGAATGTCACAATCATTCGTGAGGCACCTGTCCAAAGTTCAGTTATTAGTAATAAGCAGAGGCAGCAGTCTGGCGTTTAAGAGCTCAGCTCTGGACCTAAATTGACCCAAGTTCAAATCCTGGTTCGGCCATTTTCTACCTTTGGGACTTGAACAAAGTTGTAAAAACCATCCTGGGTCTCTCAGTTATGATAACAGTGCTGGCACCTTATAAGTTGCTATGGGGATAACTGAGATCATGATCGTAAAGGGGCACAGTGCCTGGTAAGCACTCAAGAAATGTTCTCAAAAATTATACATGTTATAGCCCCCAAGTAACCAAAAGTTTACATAAAAATGTAAGTAACAGGCACATCCCAAGTGATGCTTATTACATCACCATCTTCCTTACTCATATTTTGATATGCTCTCCTAAGTGAGAAAAGTCCCTGAGTACTATCAGCAGAGAGGCCTAAGAGTCTTTGTAAAGTTAGATACTGAAATAGGATGCAGCTTCTCTGTTAGCCATACAAACCTGCCTTGTGCTGGTGCTGCTTTGGGGAAATCAACATAAAGGGGGTCATGTTCTATGCTGGTAAAAGGGCAGCAGCTGCCAGAAAGAAGAGCAAAACTTAAGGAGGAGGCAGAGGCTGTCTCAAATTTTTCAGAACCATTGTGGAAGGTGCTGGGCCTATTGTACTCAGAATCCCAGGAGGCGTCCCGAGTCCCCTCTTACATCCCACATCCAAACCATCAACACATCCTGGTGGCTTTATTTAACTTTTAAGGGAAAGAGCATTCCTGGGAGGTAAGAGGGCCTAGGAACAGCAGGCTGCCAACCCTAATTGGTACCACAGCAGTCCTGGGGGTCTAGTGCCACCCAGCAGTGCATCAATTGGGTAGCACCAGGCCCAGAAGGCAAAGGGCACAGGGGTGGGTTGGGGGCTCACCCTGGATGGTCCTCTTGAAGAAGGCTTTGCAGGCCTCACAGGATGCCACACCATAGTGGTAGCCGGAGGCCACATCCCCACAGACCAGGCAGAGGCGTTTGGGCAGAGAGCTGAGCACCAGCTTCCCACCACCCTGCTCACCAGGCCCAGCCCCCTCCCCATCTTCCTCTTCCTTGTGGCCTGGGAGGTGGCGAGTGGGAGCTGGGCCAGGGGCCAGGGCCACAGGGGGCTCGGTCTCAGTCTCCGAGGAACCCTTTGGGCTGTCGGGGCTGGCTGGCTCTGCCTTGATGTAGAGAGGCTCAATGCCCACCACCTGGCTGGACATGGCGCTGGTCACCTGTGGGGAAAGAGCTGTCAGGTCATAGGGAGGTGCTGGGATGGGGGCTGAAGAGACATCTTGCCTGTCCAACTCCAGGCTTGGAGCCAGGCTTCCAGGCTCAGCCAGGAGGAGGGAGGGGGCACAGAGTCCAAGGAAGGGCTGTCCATGAAGAGGCCACCCCCCAGCTGTTGCCATGGGAACACAGTCTCCAGAGCCTCCAGGGCCAGTAACTGACAGCAAGTCTGCCACTTGGGAACCTGCAGGAAGCTTGGAGACACCCTACTCCCACCTAGGCCAGGGAGAAGGGTAACCTTGGCCCCAGGCTACCTTCAACCCCATCTGGAATACCCAGCTAGAAGCAGGATACCTCTCAATTTTCTCCAGATATTGGGAACCTCAGTGATCTCCCCCTCATCTGGGTATCCTCCATGCAAGAGTGCAAACAGAGGTACACAAACCCAAGGGGCAGTTGATGTGCTCACACGTGTTCACACCCTCACACACTCCCACTCACCTGAGTTCTCAGGTGTCCTCACATGCTCACACATGCTCCTCTCACATTTGGCTTTTCCCAAGCCCAGTTCTCACTCATGCTCAGATTTGTCTTCGCACAATCCTCCCTAAGTGTATACCCATAAACAAAGTCACACTCAAGACAATCACACTCGCTCACAAATACACTCTCACTGTGCTCCCACACTCACGGGCAGCGACCCTTGTGGAAACACGTTCAGAGATTTCACACCTGACACAACGCCCCCTCCTGCCCCAGCAAGCCCAATCCCAGGCACACCGACAGGCATGGCTCCACCTCTTTGCACACCCCCTCACCCCACCCACCAGCACATTCACTCTTACACTCCTGCTGCCGCAGAGTCCTCTACCTCCAGGGCGCCCCGCCCCCACAACCTGAGTACACCTACGGGAAGTTGCCTAAAGTTGCTGCGCCTTCCCTCCCCCTCCGCCCGCCGGGGACCTCTATCAGGTTATCAGGAAGTAAAAGGGGAGTGCCAAGAAGGAGGAAGTTCTCCCCTGCCGGTGCGATGACCTTTGACCCAGAGAGGAGGGTGGCCCAAGGCCCCTTCGAGCGCCCCCACGTGGTCTTCAACGCCCCTTCCCCGTCAGGGACCCTCCCCATATTCCACCCTGGCCCGCCCCTGGGACTTTAGCATGCTCCAGGTGCTGGATTGAACCCTGCCCTAGGACTGGATCCGAGGCCCAAGTTCGACCCTGGCCATGACTTGAAGCCCGAGTCAGAGCCGGCCCCTGCCCCAGGCCGGCGTACTAAGACCTGGACGCCCGATCTCCCCGGACCCTGACCTCGTCTGGCTCTCGACCGGGTCCCGACCGTGACCCTGTCCGGTCCTGGAGCCGGCCCGCGCCTGGAGCCCGCCCCCCGCCTGTCTCCCAGCCGCGCTCGCACATGGCCCCCGCGCTCCGCCCGCCCACTCCCCCAGCGGCGCTCCCCTCCGCCCCCAGACCTGGGGCTCCGACTGGGCGGGCGGGCAGGCATGGGGGCCGAGTGGCCCGGAGCGCCGGGGTGAGCCAGGGGCCGCTGGCAGCCCCTCCTCCGCCGCCTCCTCGGGCCGCGCCGCCCCGCCGCGCCGCGTCCCCTCACTCCGCGGCGCCGCTGGCGGCTTGTAGGACACAAAAGGACATCGCGGCCGCTTCCTACTCCGCTTCCTCCAGCTGACAGCGGGGGCGGGGCCGGCGGTGCGCATACAAAACAGGGGGCGGGGCCTGACGCCCTATGCTAATCAGACACTTGGGGCTGGCAGCGCCTGCGTGACGGGACGAGTAGGGGCGGAGTCGGCGAAGCCAGCGGGTGCGCCTCCACGAAGGTCCAGATCCGCCGCGGCGAACCACAGCGGCGCACTTGCGTATGCGGCCGCCGAGGGGGCGTGATCAGAGGAGACGCGGAAAGGCTCCGGGAGGGGTTAAGGCCAAGAACGCTCTTACGTAACGAAGGAGGCGGGGCGCACTGTGCGCAAGAGGAGTGGGCGAAATCGCTAGGGACGGGGAAACGACATACATATGCAAATGAGAGGGCCGGACGGGCCGAGAGGCTAGCGTATCTGCATATGCATGAGGGGTGGAGCCTAGCCTTCCCAAGCTGGAGGGCAAACGCTGCCCCTTTCCCTTTTCCCCCTTCCCCCAAGATAACACCGTCGGGGCTCTTAGATCGCAACAGACCCAACATGCCCACAAAGCTGCAGAACCCTAGATCGGAAAAGCAGACCTAAAACATGCAACAACTCCTGGGATTTCGAGTCCCGGGAAGGCGGAGTTGATAGGGCCCGAATGGAGAACGCTCAAGGTCACTGCGGTGACCGAGTGAAGGTCATGGGGAAAGGCGGGGCCATGTGCGTCGGCCTCCCGCGGGTAGCCACGCACTGACTCACGGACCATGCACAGACTCTTTTATTTCTCTAGGGTTCACACTCCACGTGGACAGGGTCGTGCTTGGGTCTGGGGGCAGGAAAGGAAACGGGGCTAGAGTCGGGCAGTCACTCGAGCCTGAGGCGGTGTTTTCAGTACTCAGAGACGTTCAGCCTCTTGTTCCGGCGCCTCTTGAGACCCTCGATGTACCGCTGCAGCTGCTTGGTCAGGAAGTGATTCCTGCCGATCCCTGACCGGTAACCTGGAGGGCAGAGCTCCACTCAGGGCAGCTAGCAGCAGGTGCCGCTTGTGTGATTTGATGAACAGCGAGTGACTTGGGTTGGTAGGCGCTGTGGGCGCTCTGTTCTTTGTTAGTTTGGGGAACTTTGGATCTCCAAGGTGCTGGGCCCTGCCGGTTTTTTGTTTGTTTGTTTGTTTGTTTCAAGTCATAGACCTGTGCTCCAAATAGATGGGGGATGCAGAGCAGGATGGTGTGCTGAGGTGGAGGATGAATGAGGGCAAGGTTAGAGAAGATGTTGCAGGCCCAAACTAGGGAGTGGCAGCAGGCAGCTTTTCGGACAACTGCTAGAGCTCCCACCTTAATCCGTTAGCCCTCCCCCGCTTCATATCATAAGCAGGGCAAACCAGGGGAAGTTTACCCAAATAACCTGTCCAAAAGCTCTTCACCTTACCCAGGGAGGGGGCCAAGGCCACACAAAGGCATTGGACAGATAGAGATGGGCCTTAGAAAAGCCCCATCAGCAGCTAGAGAGGGGCTGCAGTCCAGGCCCCTGGCAGTCACCCCAAGATCTCCCCACTGGGAGTCTCTGTGTCCCATCCCCCAACTTTTTATTTGAGGGGGAGCTCCTGGAATGTCTGTGGGTGGAATCTGACAGGGCAGACACATCTTGAAACCCCACTCCCAGGGGGGCCAAGCCCTGCAAAATCCCCCAGGGTCTCTTGTGGGAGCTGTGGGAGAGGCTCACTCTGGCGGGCTTTGGTGAGGATTTCCAGAGCTTCATTTTCCATGAGTTCTATCAGGGGCAGCGGCAGCTGGAGAGGCAGCAAGAGGCACAGATGTCCAATTGACCCCAGCTCTGCCCACAGCTGAAATAGCCCACCTGCTGCTTCCAGCCCCAAAACCCCCAACCAACCTGCCTGCCCCTCCACTCACAAACCACCCCCACCCCTGCAACCTCCAATTTGCCCATCCCCCACCCACTAAAATCCCCAGCCTCCCTGGGTGCCTCCAACCCTGGTCTGCTGCTCCGCCCAGTAGGCTCCATGGGATGTATGCTTCAAGACACTGAGTGATGGCATTGAGGAAATTATTTCTGGGAGAAGAGAAAAGAGAGGTCAGTCATCAGCAGACTGCTGGGTCTTCCCTGGAGCAGAAAAGATGTATGAGATGGCATCTGGCTGGGGGAGTGGCCTTCAGAGAACAGCTCCAGGTGCCTCCTTAGTGGGAAACAGTATGAGGCAGTGGTTTACAACCCTGGGTTTTATTGTCCCACTCCACAAGGTTCCTGTTCTGACTGCCACACTGTGTGAGACTTAGGGCCAGTGACTGACACTTTCTGACCCTCAATTCATCTGTAAAATGAAGTAATAAGAATGGCCCCTTATGGAGTTTGTGAAGTTCAAAGGTGATCATGCAAGAGAAGCCCAGTGCCTGGCACACAGTAAGCGCTCACTAAATGGCAGTTATTATACTGTTACCGGTTTCAATTGCCTGATGAAGGGCTGGAGGGAGGAGGAGGAGGAAAGGCCCAAACAGTGCCCAACATGAAGTAGATACTTAAAAATTGTAACCAATGACTGAATGAATGACAGGCAGGCACCTCCTCAACCAGCGCAAATCCACCGACAAGATATTAACTCTCTCCTCTCACTAGCCTGATAATTCCACTCAAAGCACGGTCCTACCGTGTCTCTCCCAGAACTGGAGTGTCCGGGCCACCGAACCTTTAAAGACGCCTTCCCGGTAGGGGGCGCTCCAAGAATGTCTGGTTGATTTAAAGCGTGAAAGATTAGAGCTGGACCCCATCCCAGGAACTCCTAGAAACTTGGATCCTACAGCTTCTCCCCGTTTTACACTAACAGAAACTGAGGCCCTGGCCAGCCCCCTGCCCTGTGGGCTCCCACAGCCCGGTGAGTCCACACTAACCTATCTGGGTGCTAGGATCATCCTCCTCTTCTAAATGGCTGCCAAAGGAGCTGCCTGGGTGCAGCTCCAGCCCCAACAAGGTGTGGTCGTCAGGCTCCTCTTGTTTGAAGCTGACGTTGTCATCTCTGTCATCCCATTCTTCCCAGCCGCCGTCGGAGTCGTGGCCCGCCTTCTGGTTGTACCACCCGCGAGTCTTGCTGCCTACGCTGCTGCCCTCCAGTTCGGAATCCCTGTAGACATTGGACAGCTGCACGTTCAGCTTCGGCTGCGACAGTGTGGCCGTGGTCCACAGACTCCGGATGTCGTCCTGCGGGTTCGACTTCATTGAAGACGTGGCCAACGCCTGTGGGCCACAAACGAGGAGGGAAGCCAAGGGTCGCGGGGAGTTGGGGAGGGAGGAAGAGCAGGCTGAGGCAGGGATCCCGAGTCCTGCCAGAGCCAGCACTCCACTCTGTAGGGCGCGGGGACTGTTGGGAGCTGTCCAGAGCCAAGGGCGAGTGAAAGGATAGCCAGGGGCCCAGAGTAGATGAATCTGGGGGCTGACAGGTGAGGGGCCCAGGAAGAGTTCTTACTTTGAAAGGCTTTTCCTCCATGGTTCTGTCCCAACGGACACAGTCGCCACAGGCCTCCGGCGAGGAAGAGGAGGTCACGTTCCAGTAAGGGGGAGGGGCAGGGTCCCGTTTCGGAATGGCGATGGGGGTCTCGCGCGGGAAGAGTTCAAGCCACAACCTCCACACTAGATACCGTTATTTCTCCCCCATCCCCCACCTAATAGCTGTGCTAAGGTTGGAGACGCACAACCCATCTTGGCCGATTCCTCTCCTGGACCCTACCCGGTAGCCTCCAAGCAGACACGCGGGCCGGATTACAGCCAAGAGGGCCGCACTTTGACTGACATACGTGCAGAAGGGGTCACGGAGGGCCCTGACGTGCCCGGAGGTGGCCCAACGCAAGCACCCCCACCCCACTCGCGTCCCGGAGCGCGGACGTTCGTAGCGATACAGACTTTTCGTTTATTGATGCAGGCTTTGAGGCACAGTTGTGAGGTGTTGTGAAGGACAGGCCCAGCCAGGAGAGTGAGACAGAAAGCCTTGGGGGTCTGGAAATGGATGAAGTAAGGAGAGGGCCAGAGCCGGGGTGGCAGGCAAGCAACCCGTAGCCTGTCCCCCAGGCTCGCGTCTGGTCGAAAGAGGGCTCTTTGGTGAAATAAGCAAAGCATGCTGGGGAGAGAGCCAGAACCAAGCCGTTTGAGAGGCCGCGGTCGGGGGTCTTGCCCCTACACGGGTACGTCTTTGTCCCGGGGGCGCCCCGGGCGCCGGGGCCTCTCAGGCTTCCTGGAAGGGTTGGGAGGGCGGCGGCGACCTCGTGGCGCGCGGGGCAGCGCGCAGCCGCGCTCGCTCTGCGTGTCCGAGGACTCGTCGATGAAAGCAAGATTCTCGCTGGGGTAATCCAGCGCGGAAGCCGTGGGCGGGGAGGGCGGCTCGGCCTTCTCAGGGAGTGCAGGGGATGGGGGCCTGCCGGCGGGCTGCGCTGAACAAGGTGGTGGAGGCAGGAGTGGCCGCTCCTTCTCCGGTGGCGGTGGTTCTGTGGGCCCGCCTCGCTGGGTCACCCTCGCCGTCACCGTGCCGGTCCAGCTGGCGGCCTGCGCCGTGAAGCCGCCCATCTACGCAGGGAGGAAAGACAGTCCTCGACCACCTCCGCAACCCCGGGAGCCTGCCCCTCGCAAATCAGACATTGCCCTACTTTTCCCCTGGTCCTCCTGCCTCAGCCCGCCTAAGGAGGGACCGGCTCATCACCCCGCCCCACGCTCTCCCCTCACCCATCGCACTGAAGCGCCCTCTTCTCCAGGAGCTTTTCTAGAAAACCCGTTTTATTTCAGTTCTCCCTCCCATAGCCCTAGAGACCTTTGCGCCTCCATCCCGCTCCTCGGCCGGGCGCGATGAGTGGGGTAACAAAACACAGGTCGCCCAGTTAAATGTGAATTTCAGATAAACAGCAAATAATATTTTAGTATAAGTATGTCCCAAATGAATTTCAGATAAACAGCAAATACAATTTTAGTGTAAGTATGTCCCATGCAATATTTGGGACATACTTATACTAAAATATTATTTGCTGTTTATCTGAAATTCACATTTATCTGGGCTTCCTGCTTTTTTATTTGGTAAGTCTGGCAACCCTATCCATACGAGCAGAGATTGAGTCACCTGAAAACCTATCTGAGTTTATCCCTTTGTCCCCAGGCTGGTGCACACTGGGGCTCACTCAGTCCCTTCCTGGAGGAGCCCCCACGCTGGAAGGGAGGCGGGCTGGCCAAACAGCGGCTAGGGTACAGCGCGTCAGCGCCACGGCGCAGGCGCGGCGCCTACCTCTGCCCGAGTGCGGCGGGACACTACTCGCAGCCAGTTCCCGATGGTGGTGAGCACTGAGGCGAAGTAGGCCAGGCCCAGCAGGATCCAGAACCACACCAGCGGCTGGTAGGCTGCAGAGTTCTGGTTGGGGTTGGCGCCTGGGATACCACCGGGGAGGGCAGAAAGAAGTTGGTTGTGGGGCAAGCGCTGAGCCTGTGAGCCTCTGTTTCACTGCCCCTCTTCCCGGCTCATTAAGAGGATCCGCGTTTCCCAGGGCAATGGATATGTGCCAGAGTGTGTGAATGCATGCAAGAAGATGAGTGTGCAAGACTTGAAGGTGTACAAGAGCATGTGAGTGGAGGTGCTCACGTGCAAGAATGTGAGCATGTGTGAGGGGTGCACCTTATATGTGTGAACATGCACGGAGGCGCAGGCATGCAAAAATGTAAGTGTGCATGAGGTGTTGCATCCGTGTAAAAATGTGACGGTGCGTTCAGTGAGCAGATGTAGGGGTTGGAGCCATCCCGTGTGAGCACACAAACGCCACGTGGAATTTGGAGGGAGAAGCAAGAATGCAGAGCCCCTGGGCAGCAATAAAGTGGGTAGGGAAGTACAGCACAAGAAAGGTGGCCTCACCGGCCACATAGTCCCCGAACCCCACCGTGGTGAGTGTCACTATGACGAAGTAGATGGCCTCAAGCTTGCTCCAGCCCTCCACATAGCAGAACACGAACGTGGGGGTGAGGACAAAGAGCAGGCAGCCGATCAGCAGGAAGAGCACCGCCGATAGAATTCGCACCAGCTCCGGGGGCACGTGCCATTTCTGCAGGGAGGGGCAGTAGGCAGGACCCAGGAGTCGACAAAACCTCCATCCTCACCCCCCCATCCTCCCTCCTCTGGGAGCCTGCGGGGGAGGTTCCTGTGATCTTAGGGACCATGATCCCGTGCAGGGAGGGTACATAGGGAAGGGTATCCCGAGCCCAACGCAAGGGCGAGGAGCAGCTCACCAGGAAGATGGCTTCGATGTTACCGATGCCGCGACGCAGGGAGGAACCCAGCCGGTCCCCGACCCCTGCCAGTAGGATCCCGAACAGCGGGATCCCCACCAGCGCATAAAAGATGCAGAAGAGGCGCCCAGCATCTGTGCGCAGGGCCACATTGCCGTAGCCTGGGTAGAGGGGCCGAACAGGAGGTCTACGGGCTGCCTAGTACCTCCCTACCTCCCCTTGCACCTTCCCGCAAGAGAAAGCCCAGCTGCCCCTTGCCCCCCTCTGCATGCTTAGTCCCCTCCCCCACCGATGGTGGTGATGATGGTGCCCGAGAAAAAGAAGGCGCTGCCCAGGTCCCAGGCTGAGTAGTTGCTGTGACTGGTTGAGTTGGTGTCAGGGTTCGCACCCCCTCCCAAGGCATCAGCCACCTCCTGCAGGACAAGGCGCAGAAGGAGGAACCTCAGTCCTTCCCTCCGGTCCTGGCTAACCCCCTTGGCTCCAGTCTCCAGGGTGGCTCCCTTGCTACCCCGCCCAGCTCTCCCTTTCCCTCCGGTCTCCCTGAGGGCAGTCTCTTAGAGCAGACATTGCAAGTTGGGTGGCCCAATGTTGTTTGACCTCCACATCGTTTTAGAAACACTTGAGTTATCTGCCCCCTAATTTCACACAAAGGATTTCCAATTTCACAGTGGTCAGGAGTACAGACTCTGGGACCAGACTGACGGGGTTCAAATCTTGGTGCTATGCAACCTTGGGCGACTTAACTCTCTGTGCCTCAGTTTCTGCATCTACCAAGTAGAAATGATATTAGCACCTACTGTACAGGTTGTTGTGAAGAGTTAAAACACCCACAACAAAGTAAGCACTGCGTGTTTGTTAAATGAGTTCCCACCCCCACACAGTGATCATGCCCAGTGATTTCCAGCTTCCCACAGACCCCACCACTCCCACTGGCCCTATGGAAGGTGAGTTTGGGTCCTTTGCCTTAGAAAATCTGATGAAAGAAAGTTAGGGACCCTCCCTCCAGGAAGGCTCATATACCATCAAATTTTAGGAGGTTCACAGACACACAAACTCCCGCCCACCCTGTTGAAGCCCTGTGCTACATAGTTGGTGTTCAATAAATATTATTAAATTAATGAAATGGCCATGTGCCTGCCCCTCTTGCCAGCCTGCAGGTGGCTTGGGGCAGGGTCTGTGCTTTGAGAGTGCATGCTCTAAGTGATAGAGGTCAGAGCATAATAAGGAGAGGTTGCAGAGGAGCCCTTCCCCAAGGAGCACAGAGCCAAGACCCCAAGGCAGTGGGTGTGGGGGAGATCATAGGCCACATCTCTCTCTGTAGTCCTCATTAACAAGACCCTTTCCAAATTAATTGTCCTAACGTGACTGCCCGAAATCCTTCATAGCTCCCTGCTGTCTGCAGAATGGAGTCCAAACTCCACAGCCCAGCGTTTAAGCCCCTTTTCAATGTGGTCCCAACCTCCCCTTCCCCAGTCTCCTCTCCTGAGGCTCCTATTTGGGAAGCCAAGTTACACTGAGTGACCTTACCCCCAGATTTATGAGACAATCCCATTTCCTATAATATTTTTTAATAAAGCCAAGAAGTGAGATGTATGATTAAAAGTGATTTAATTTTTATTTTGCAGCACCTTTCCAGTAAATTCACTACTTTGGGGAAAAAAATCCTTTATCATCCTGTGTGTTCTAATTTTCGCTTCAAATGAGTAGGCATCTGCTAAATCTGAGTTCTGCAAAACACTCTGAGCTTCCCGCTTCCATGCCTTTGTCTATACTGTTCCTCGGCCTGCAGTCCTTTGCAACCCAAGCACACATCTCTAAATTCTACCCATCTCACCTGCCTCATTTCAATTATCAGGTCTTCCAAAAGGCCCCTGGCATCTCCCTCCTTGCCCCCAGCTACTAGCCCAGAGCCCAGCACACAACACATGGTTAACAAAGAAGGAAGTAAGCAAAGCTCCTTTTCCACTACATTCTACAGTGATCTGTCCATGAATCTGTCCCATAGTCCAGCTGTGACATCTTCTAGGGTACAGCCTGCATCTGTTCCACCCCAACGTCAATCTCCCTGCTCACCCTATGGTGTATAGCACAGCACCTAGCACACAGTAGGTGCATAATTGCTGCATGACTAATTGTGGAAGAGAAATAGAACAGCTGTTGCCCACCCTTCTAGGTTCTGCCCTTCCTTTTCTTCTTTTTTTATCCAGGAAAAAAGCAATTCCATTGTGGAGATAAAATAGGTCAGATTCCCTCCCTCCCTCTGCCCTGTTGTTTGGCCAGACACATTCTCCTGCCCAGGCCTCTCTGAGCATTCTAGAAGCATCAGAGATAATGTCGGGCTGCTTCATGCCCTGGCCCCACCCCACCCTCATCTCTGCTCTGGGTCCTGCCACATCAGGAATCAGCTGGAACACGGAGGCTTCCATGCTGATGGCTCCTCCGTCCAAAAGAACAGGCAGGGAAAGAGGGGTAGTCTTTGCTAAAATAATAAGCATTTATTTATTAAAGTTAAATTTTAGGTTTTTAATATGATAGTGACTCCGAAATCAGAAAAAGTCATAGAGGTGTTGCCTGCCAGTACCCCAGAAGACTGAAGCCCAGCACTTTCTTTATTCAAAGGACTAAAGTTTACCTTGTTCCTGACTTGCCCTCCCTCTAGCCTCTACATCATAAGCATGTGTCCTGGGGCAAAGGGGTGCTCAACCTGGCATCCATGGTGGCATGAACAGACTTAGGGGATCCTGGAATCCTCCGAAATCGCCTGTACATGTTTCTATGTGCATTTTTTGGGGGGTGAGGGGAGTGTTCACAGTGTTCTTGGGCTTCTCTAAGGCATCTGTGACTCCAAGAAAGTATAGGAACAAGTGTAGGGTTGCCAGATTTAGCAAATAAAAATATTGCATGGGATATATTTATATTTTAAAACTAATCGTTGTTAAATAAATTAAATTAATATGTCTGGCTGAAATTCACATTTAACTGGGTGTCCTGGAGTTTTATCTGGCAACCTGAAACCAGTGAGTTAGACCTGCGAAAATGTGACATATCTCATGTGTGCTACAGCCATTTATTCATTTCTTCCTTCATTCGTTCCTTCATTCAACCACCCTCACACATGGAAGGAGACCTTCCAGGAGCACAGTCCAATGCCAGGCACAGTAAGGAAAACAAGTGCCCCCATGGCTGCCACATTAAAAATATGGCACAGCCTCTGCCATGCACCCTCCAACTGCACCCAGCTCCGAGGGGTGTTGGTCTGGAGGCAGCACCCCAGCACATGGCCCCACAGGCATGCAGCTAGTGGCAGGGGGTCAAGGGTGACTGCTGAAGGGGCTCTCGCCCACCCACGCACCTTGATGAAGAGCCCCAGGTCCTGATCGCTGACACAAGGATGGCCCTTCAGGAACCTCTCTCGGGCCTCCCCGAGCTCCCTCTGGGCCTGCTGCTCGTGGGGCTGCTCCAGAGCCTGGAACACCAGGGCACCGGACACCAAGTAGAGCAGGACAAGCGCCAGCAGTGCCAGTAGCGTGGTGCTGTGCATGGCGCGCCCAGGGGCCCTGCCAATTCCACTGCCCGCCTGGGGAGGCTGGGCAGGAGGCTCCTGGAGGGCTGCGGTCACTGTGGACAGAACCAGGGATGCTTGGATCAATAACCTAACCTGACACCCCTACACCCTCCTCCAACCCCTACACACCCAAAGATCCTTGGAGCCCCCAGCCCTACTGTCCACAGATGTCCTCTCCTCACATCCCTCCGGCTGGACACTTGGTACCAGGACACACCCAGTCCTCCCCCCACTTGGGTCCTCCCTCTTACCTCTACTGCCCGGCCCTCAGCCCCTGTCCGGGGACTCCAGGGTGTGAGAAGTGAAGAGGGCACCGGGAAGGGGAAGGAAGGAGAGTGGAAGAAGAGGCTGAGCCTGCTGAGGGAGAGGCAGGGCGAGCGAGAAAAAGCTGGGGACCCGGTGGAGGCGTGGGGAACCAGCTTCCCAGGAGGAGGCTGAGCTGGTGCCGAGGTTCGAGAAGGGAAAACGGGGTGGGGGGAGGGGGGCCGAGGGCGAGGCTGGACCGCACAGGGTGGGGACGAGGATAGCGGGTCCTGGTTCGTCCGCTGAAGCTGCGGCAGCATCTTAGTGACTTCGCCCTCCCCTCCTGCCTCTTCCTGAAACGCTGCTGGCCGCGATGGGCCCGGCGGGGAGCCTCCAGGGCCCCCCAGCGCCCCGCCGGGCTTTCGAGGAACCCAGGGATGGGTCCCGGTCGCTGCGCAGAGACGACGCAGGGCGGGATGGTGGGGGAAAAGGAAGGATGCCGGGTTCCGGGAAGGAGAGGGGTGGGGGCGACAAGGGCCGGACTAGTGCGGCATCCCCCAGAGAAGCCGTCAGCCTCAGGGACAGCAGGCGGCGGCGCCCACGCGCATACACACGCCGCACAAAGCCCCGCGCGCCCACGCTCCGCCCTGCGGCTCCAGCCGCCCAGCTGCTCAGGCTGCACGCTCACGCTCCACCTGCACTCTCCGCAGACTCACGGGCATACCCGGACCCCCAGGGGCAGGCGCGCCGGGCCGTGGTACCCCAGAGGTCCACGCACACGTGTGCACACACTCGCGTACGCACACCCAGACCGCGGGGCCACAACGCAGCGCCAGCCGTCCAGACACACTGCACACCAGCCGCCCACTCCCACTGCCTCGCGCGTCTTCACGCCGACGCCTTGGAGCGTGACGGGCGGCTGGACGCGCGGCCGTACAATTCCCGGAGGCGCCCACGAGGGGGAGGTGGCGCCCCGCCCGGACGGTCACCCTCTACGCGCCCTGCCCCGGAGTGCGGTGCGCACGCCCTCCCGCGCCCGTCCGCCCCGCACTTACTGTTGGCCTCGCTGCGGCTGCGGCTGCGGCCCGGGTTCCCGCACGGCCTCGCCGGTGCCGGCTGGGCCGCGGAGGCGGCAGCGGCAGCAGGGGCGGAGCGGGCGGCCGCCGGGGCTGGGACCCCCTCCCGCCGCCAGAAGCCCCCCTCCTCCCGCGTTTAACCCCTCCAGCGCTGCGCCCCCGCTGCCGGCGTCGCCCCCCGCAGCCCCTAACCTGCTGCATCCCAGTGCCCTAATCCCGGCAGGTCCCGGGAGGTGAGTGGCAGAAGAGCCCAGAAGGGTTTGCCGCTGGATCCGGTCTCGAGTCTCAGACCAGAGCTCTGGTACTGCCCCTCCGGCCAGCCAGTGTGGCCAGCGGCACGGCCTGGGTCTGGACATCAGCCGGCTCACCTCTCTGGACAGGCGCCACACTGATCTGCCAGCATCTCCTAGGCCCACAGTCAGATCTGAATGGCCCTGAACTCGCCGCCCCTGGGGACATTCTGGCCCTTAAGCTCAACACTTATGAGGGAGGGGCTCCCACCAGACAAAGGGTAGGGGATTCACTGAGGCAAGCTGGAGTTGGCCTAGATAGGGTGGGGCCCAGTTCTGGGAAGTCATGCTGGAGCACCTCCTGTGTATCCATTCCTTGGTCCTCACCCCATGCCAATCCCAACATGGAGTGCCAGCACTCCCTCCCCCCACTGCCTGAACAGCCAGGGCCCTAGCAGATCCTGGAACTCTGCCTCTCTCTGCTCTTAGCCACTTTACAACCCCCATCTCTCCAAAGACCCTGCTCTTGCTTGGGGTCTCTCAGCCCCCAGGATGAGTGGTGTAAGTGTAGGCTGGAAAGCTGACCACCTCCTACCAGTAGGGGGCCTAGACAGGTTACTAAACTGGAGCCTGCCAGTCCCCCCTTACAGAAAAGGGGTGTTAATTTTCACCTCGGGGTGCTTTAAAGAGGTGAGCATTATAAAGGTCAGTATTTGTAAATGTTCAAATCAGAGCCTGGCACAAACACAATAAAGTGCCCTACAAATGTTAGCAATTTTCCTTTCAACAAAAAGTGATTGTCCAGCTTCCAGCTTGATTTGATTCTCTGAGTCTCAGATGCCCTCTCAGAAGGCCCTCAAGGCCTGGTGCCCAAGTTAGTCCCAAGTGAAGGGTTTCAAAATAGGCTCAGTGCTAAGCCCCAGGGACTCCAAGGAGCTGGGAAGGCCAGGTCTGTGTGCAGGAGACAGACCCTCCTGTAAACAACACCCAGCCACATGACAGATCGCCTAGAGATGTGGCAGCAGAGGGCAGTGACTGTGCCATCAGGGGTGGCCAAAGAAAGGGGCCCCAGGACCACCAAGCAGACTATGTGGGGCATCCCCCCCACCAGTCAAATCCACACCTAGTAGGGAGATTAGGGCAGGTCAGTCATGGGCCAACTCCTCCTCCAGGCCCTGGACTAACCCCTGGACCTGACGGCCAGGTTGGCTGTGATGACAGGGAAGCAGGGTCTCCAGAAATCCCAGTCCACTAGGGGGTGAGAGGCATAATAGCCACATCATCACAGTACCAGGGGACCCAGGAGGGTTCCCTGACCTGGAGAAGGAAGGCTTCTAAAGGAGGTGACATTTGAAGCAAGTCTTGAGGTAAGAGTAGAAATTATTCAAGTAGAGATGGGGCTGGAGCAGGGCTCTTCTGGTCTCCCTTCCCCTCAGACTGAAGGCTCTTCCCTCTCCCTGCCCACCAGCCTGGGGCAGGTAAGTGGTCCCTGCCAGTCCAGCAGCCCCCTTCAAGGGCCAGTGTCTGATCAGCCTTCAGCCAAACAGATGATGGTTCATAGAGGACAGACAACTGACAGTCGGTGGTCAGTCGTGGGGCACAGACACTTTTATTAAGTGGCAGGTGCAGAACAGGTAGCTGGCTCCAGCGTAGAAGCAGAGGCGGCAGGTCATGCCAGGGTGCTGTGGGCATCTGGCAGCCAGGGCCATGCTCCCCCATCCTAGGGGACAGCATAAACTCACTACAATAGAAGTAGCAAGGAGCTGGCCAGGGGAGGAGGCAGCCACTGCCACCCCTCCCCTCCCCCCAGGATCCTGGAGAAGCAGATGAACTTGGCACAGGGGCCTGGGGTGGGAGGGATTGGGGTCTGGATGTTCTCGGGAGAGATGGAAGGGGATCACGTCTGTGGGGTAGAGTAGAGACTGTGGTGGTGGCTGCCTGGTCCCAGCACCTGGGAGAAGAGCAGAGGAGTGGTCCGCGTCTGGCTGCCCCCGCACCAGCCTGGCTCCCGCCCGATGGCTCCATACCAGCTGCTGGAGCCTAGGCTACCAGACATGCTGTAGGCAGAGAAATAGGGTCAGTCCCAAGGCAGTGACCAGGGCCATACTCACAGGGGTTGGGGGAGAGAGGCTCAGAACAGAGCCCGGTGACCCAGACCTCCAGGACCCAGGGCTTTAGCCCTGCAGACTATGACAAACTGAATCCTCAGGGCGAGAGGTGGAAGCCAGAGGGGCCCCCACCTAGAACAGATGGAAACAAAGGCCATGGCAGGGGCTGGGTGACAAGACTTGGCTCTACATCCTGATGGCTCCACAGAGCAAGCCAGGAGCCCATGGGTCCTGAACTGGGGTCAGGGCTCCTACCTGGTGCTCTCGCCCCGGCCATGCTCCCAGGAGCAGCCCTCGTCCTCACAGTGCCCAGCCCGGTCGAAGAAGTAGGAACGGGAGCCATAGACCTGCCCATTGAGGATGCGGCTGGTGCTCTAGGGGAGGAAACCGCCATTGATACTCTCTCCTACCCCCCCACTGACCTCCCAAAACTCCCCAACCCCAGGCCCCAGCCCAGGGAGTCCCAGTACCACCCCTCTCCACTGGCCCTCACCAGGTCCTGTGGAGGCCGGTGCACCCGGAAGAAGCCCACCAGCAGGGTAGTGGGTAGCAGCTCCCACACAAAGAGGATGAGGCCAAATACCAGGTAGCCTTTGTTCCCCAGGTCATTCACCAGGTCCGCCTGTGGGAAAGCAGGGGCTTGTGGAAATCTGCAATTGTGCCAGTGGGGTACCTGGCCAGGGCACAGGCCAGCTGGGGGCCAGGAGCCATGGCTACTAAGGAAGCAGCAGATATGCCAAATGCCCACCTGGTCAGAGACGTTGTACCAGTCATAATCGAAGGCATCCAGTCGGCTCCGGGGGGCCAAGGCCAGGGCTGCCAGGTTGTAGCAGGCCCGACTGGCATAGAGCAGGACCATGGCACCACCCATTGCAGCAGCCTGGCACACACTGGTCCCCTAGCATAGATGACAACAGGGGGCCCTCAGGGAGGGGAGGCTTCAACTTCCCCTCTACCCTGAAGACCAATGTCTAAAGACCCCAAAGGACGCCAGGCATTAGGGCTTGTGACCCTACCTTGGCCTCCAGGTAGATGCTGGTGGAGGGGGCCCGCCGGGCGACAAGGCAGAGGCAGGCGGCAAGAGAGAGTGCGCAGATAACAAAGAGGGAGTCGCTCACTAGGACGCGAACCAGCAGGAGGGCCCAGGGCTCTGCCTGGTGCTGGCGGGACAGCACAGCACACAGCACATTCACCAGCAGAAAGAGCAGCGAGGCCCCCACGAAGGCCCCTCGGACAGCCAGCCTGCAGCCCACAGCAAAGTCAGCCCCAGCCTACTGCCCCTGATGCTCACCCACCTCCCAACCACCCCCAGGAGACCCATTGTCAACCAGAATCTCAGGTCATCCAATCTGAACCCTACTCCTTTAGTTTTATAGATGGGGAAACTGAGGTCCAAAGAAGTAAGAAGGTGACTGACACCTGTGGTACAGTGGAAGGAGCACCAGCATGGGAGTCAGAAATCTGAGTTTAAGTCCTGGCTCTGCCTTCAGCCAGGTCTATGACCTTGAACATGTTGATTCACTTTTCTGGGCCTCAGTTTCTTCATCTCTCAAATGGGGATAATAATAGCCTCATACATACATGGTAAAAATTAAAGATGTTTGTGAAAGCTCTTAATAAACCATATGATGTTATACAAATGACAGGAGTATTGCCACCCAAGGTCACCCAGAATTGCTTTGGCTTTAGAGCTTCCAAGGACTTGGGGCCTCCAGCTCGCCTCCATCAAGGATGACACTGGTACCCATTCCCCTCACTGTTTCTATTATTGTTGCCCTTCACATATGCAACGCCTCTGCTGAGCCATCTGTGCCAGGTGCTTCATTTTTCCAAGCTCTTTCACAAACATTCCCTGGGTTGTCCTTGCCTTAGCCCTGCCACGGGGGAAGGAATGGACACCAGGCTGTCCCCTGGCCCTGGCCCTGGCCTGGAGGCTGAGCCCACCAGTGTCCCAAGTACTTACAAGCCTCGGCTCATCTCTGGCCGACGCTTCGTCTTGGCCTTGAACACCACCTGGGAGCAGAGATGCCCATCATTCCTTTGGGCCCTTGGGGCTTGCCACCCTACAACCCACCCCAACTCATTACCAGTTACCTGGGCAAAGTAGAGGTTCATAAGCGTCAGTGTGAAGAACTGCAGGCAGACAGGGCAGCAGTAGAGAAGCCAAAAGGGCAGGGGCCCCAGGCGATTGGCTCGAGGGGTATCTCGGAAGTAGAAGGAAAAGAGGGTGGTACGCAAGGCAGCCCAGAGTAGACAGAGCGCCAGGAACACCGTCTGATAGCTGAGTCGCTTGTGTCCATACAGGAGTACCAGCCAGAGCTGGGCATAGACGGAGAAGAAGAGCAGGGCGTACAGAGTGGTATAGGCCGCAGTCAGCCCCAGAGTCACAGCCGGTGGCAGCGCAGGCACCAGCCCAGCAGCAGGCACCAGGCCAGACAGGTTACTCTCCATGTCAGGGAGGGAGGCCTGAATCCTGAGGCAGAGATGGAGGGGCTGGCAGGGGGCCAGGGAAATAAAAATAAACACAGAGGGGTGGGAGTGGCAGGGTGCAGAGACAGAGATGGGGGAGCTCAGGAGGAAAGAAGTTGTGACGGGCCAGGCTCTCCCGTGCAACAGAGGGTCACTCGCCCTTGTGGTGGGGCACAAGCAGCCTGGGGCCTGGCCCTGGGCGCCTCACTCAGGAGGATAGAAAGGCAGTCTCCTTTCCAGGGCTGAGGGGTTAGATGGGGAGTGTCCCCTCCCTGGGTCAGTCCTAGAGCCAGGAGCTGAGGGGTGCAGAGGCTGAAGGAGCGGGGTCCTTGGCCTTTGTCGCTCGAGTAGTCCTGGCAGGAGGGGGAGAGCCGGCCGATGCCCGTTGGCTCGGGGCAGCGGCCGCTGCAGGGGGCGTTCAACACCGGGCTCTCCCCCTCCTCAAACTGGGCGAGGGGCTCTCTCTCCTTCAATAATCCGGATGGGGTAGGGGGCTCTCTGCCTTCTGTCTTCGGGACTCCGGACGCTGCCACCAACCCTCCCCCCACTGCGTCCACTCTCCAACCGCGGGAGTCGGTCAACACCAGGCCCTTAGACCGCCGCTGGGGGAGCCGGATCCGGTCGCTGGGACCCGGGACTCCGGCTCCCCGGCTCCCGCGGCTCCGCCCCCTCCTGCGCCTGCGCGGGTACCGTTCACTACGCAAATTGAGCAGGGTCTAGCCCCAGCTCGGAGCCCTGCGCCCCGCCCGCCGTGCAGTTGTTCGAGAATGGGCGCGAGCTACGCCGCTAGCGGGCGCCAGGAGTTACAAGAGGTGGCGCGCGGCCGAGGCGCCGGGGCGGCACCGCATCCGGCTGGCGCCCGGGTAGAGGCGTGCCCGGGGCCAGCGGCCCTTGCTTGTTTGCGGGTCTGCCCGTGGGCCCATTGGCATTTGCTTGTTTGCGGGGCCGCCAGTCCCCACGCACCTCTTCCCCATTCCCAAACCGAGATAGCGCCGCCAGGCGGAGGGCCGCAACGACTTCCCCTCGCCGGGTCTCTGAAGGAAACTTCCGCCCACAGCCAAGATGGCCTCTGGGCCCCGCCCCCTGGACCTGAACCCATGAAGCCCCGGAGCCCCTAAGAGGCCAGGCTGTAGTTCCCGCTCACTTGGCGGGCCACCTGCCAGGCGCGAAGCTCCCGCGAGTCCTACGGCCACCTTCACAGGGGCCCCTACCCCTTCTCCTGAGCCGCGACAGTCATCCTGCCAGTCAGGGGACTCCCTCTCTCATCTCGAGTGTTCCCCAGATGGCGCGGGAAGTGGTGCCCCTGATGCGGGCGATGCGAGGTTTCCACTGGGGAGGAGGGACCCAGTCACCCAGTCTAGACGGAACAGTGACAACAGCAACGACAATGCATCCAATTGTTGAGTTTCAGTTACAGCTTTGCAGAGTGCTTTCACCGACAGTAATCACCACTCGGTTTATAAAGTTCACTGGCTCTTGAGAGAGGTGTCATTATCTCCATTTTACAGGAGTGGAAACTAAGGCCCAGAGGGGCGGAAGGACTTAGGAGAAGCTAGTCCCTAGGTTCCAAAGTCTCTGGCGACCCCAGAGTATCCCTTATCTGCTCCCACACACGCCCAGGCACGAGGAAATCGGTAGAAGAGCATCCGGAGGCGAAGAAGGAACCCAAGAGGAAGGCGTTGGGTGGGGAGCAGGTCCTGCGGCGGGGGCGGGGCACGGGCCGAGAGTGGCTCCGCCTCCTGGCCAGCCCTAGTGACATTTCAATAGCTGATTGGGCTGGGTCGGTGACAGTTCCCGTTGCCCTGGCAACTAGGGTTGGGCTCCCTGAGTGCTAGAGGTAGGCGCAGGCCCCGGTCAGGGGCCTCGAGATCGGGCTTGCGGTGAGACTGGTCACCACTGGCGGGTCGGGCCGGGTCCTGAGGCTCCACAGCACCAGGGATCCGAAAGGAGATTTAGGGCCTGGGTGGACAGGCTGAGCTCCCAGCCCAGCCAGACTCAGTGTACAGATGGGGGCCTGGGAGGCAGGGTGGACCTGGGGTTCTAAGGTGGAAAAGGGAACCAGGGGCGCCTGCTCCCCCACCGCCGCCAGCCACCGTTTGTTCCAGCTGTGCCCTAACTACCTACCATCTTGCCCCCACAGCCCAGAGCATGTTCCAGATCCCAGAGTTTGAGCAGAGTGAGCAGGAAGACTCCAGCCCTGCAGATAGGGGCCTGGGCCCCAGCCCCACAGGGGACCAGCCCTCAGGCCCAGGCAAGCACCCGTGTACGGCCCCAGGTCTCCTGGGGGAAGCCGGTCACCGGCAGGGACAGCCAACCAGCAGCAGCCACCATGGAGGTAGGCACCCCCCTGCCCCCCCACAACCACCTGCCTGTCCACTTTTGCCCCCAGCCCAGTAGCTCCCTGCATCTCAGCCGCATCCACACTCACTGGGTGGCTTTGAGTAACTCCCTAACCTCCCTGTGCCTTAGTTTCCTCTTTTGTAAAACAGGGCAATTAATCACCACCATGGTCAGGCTGTTAGGATGATTAGCAGAATATATAAGAGGCACTTACTTACCGTGTTGGCGCGTACAAAATGTTCAAAGAATGTAGCTGTTAGTGTAGGACAAGAACAGAAATCACTGAGAGGCAGGCAGTGAGCCAGAAAAGGGAAGTGACTTGCCTAAGGTCACACTTGTTCTGCGGTTCCTTTGATAGGAATCAGTGCTGAAGCCTTGGAGGTACCTACCAGAGGTTTCCAGCCCCCAGGTTGGTTTTTATCCACCCTGTGGCTCACGCCCACTCCAGGGCTATCCTTGCCAGTTTTCAGAGGCAGGTGACCTCAAGAGGCAGATAGCCCTACCAAACAGGGCTCGGTGTGGGGGTGAGGAAGCATAGGCTGTCCTCCACACCCACAGAAGGGGGTCCAGCACCCAGATAGAAGGACAGGCACTGGAGGGCAGTGGCCATTTCTCAGTAGTCTTCACTTCCCAGGGCACAGCACAGGCCTTGGCACCTGGAACAACCACAGAGATCTTCTGAAAACAAAACCCATGTCCCTTGCCTGCTGAAGCCTAAGTGACTTCCTCCCCATTTTCAGGATCAAGAAGGCTTAGTAAGGCCTTCTCCTGGCCCATTCACACACACTCTGTCAGACTAAACTCCAGACTTTCTTTAACCTCCAGATCTTTGTACTTGCTGTTTTTCTGCTCACAACAGCTTCCCACCCTCACCTGGCTGTTCCTCCTCTCTATCGAGTGCTTAATCTGTGCCCCAGCTGTCCCAGCTGCCAGGGGCACATCAGTGAACAGAAGAGATAAAAGTCCTTGCCCTTGTGGTGCCTATATTCCAGTCAGTGGGAGGAGACAAGCCATAAATAAACAAACGAGTAAATGATATAGAAGATGTGCTAGAAGATGACACCTGCTGGGCAGTAGTATGAGAAAGTCTACTTTTTCTGGACCTGACACACTGGGGGCCAGGGGAGCAATTTGAATGAAGGTGGCCAGGGTCAGCCTTGGTGAGAGGCAACATTTGACCAAAGGCTGGAAGGGATGAGGTGGGAATTACTCAGATATCTGTGGGGAGAGAGCTCCTGGCAAGGGAAAGGCTAATGCAAAGGCCCTGAGGCCACAGTGGCCCAAGGGGACAGAGGGAGGGGAGGGGAGTTGAGAAGGAGGGGAATTGGGGATACTGGAGTTAATGGAGGGGTGGGGCAGCTGAACAGGGCCTTAGCAGCTTTGGCTTTTCCTTTGAAAACATGGGAGGGCTTTTAGCAGAGTGGAGTGATCTGATTTGGGCATTGAGAGAATCACCAGGGCCTGTGTTGAGACTTGTATGCAATGGGCAAAAGCAGTGGTGGGGCTGTAGGGGCCTCAAGAGTCCCTGCAAGGGAGGACAGTGGCTTGTGTGAGGGTGATGACAGTGCAGGTGGTAAGTAGCTGGATGCTGGGTTTATTTTGAAGGTAGAGCTGGCAGGGTTTGCTGGCAGATTGGATGTGGAGTTCCAGGGAAAGAGAGGAGTCAAAGGTGGCTGCAAGAGGAATCTGGCCTCGGCACCTAGAAGGATGGAGTTGTTCTTAACTGAGATGGGGACAAGTAAGATCAGGAGCCCAGTTTGGGCCAGGTCCAGTTAGAGGTGTCTTTTGGGCATCCAGGTGGAGATTTCTGGTAGGGAAGGGTCCAGGCAGGATTCCTGCGTGTGGGAGTTGTCGGTCACTGATACAGTGTTCTGTGAGGCCTAGGGAACCACCCAAGAGTGAGGGTAGGCAAGGGGTGGGGGCTGAGGGGAGAGAGCAGGTTTGAAGTGGTCATCCTGGAGCATGGAGCTGGGTGTGCCAGCCAGTATCAAGGGGGCCTCTGAGTTTTGTGGCCATGAATTTAAACTGAGGTGGCATGGCTGCACATGGCTCCGGCCACAATGGCCGCTCAGGTGCCGGTGCGAGCTGGCAGGGGGTTGGCGTTAACCAGAGCTATGTTCTTCTCAGCCCAGTGAGAGAGGCAGGGCCTTGAGGCTGTGTGCAAGGGAGGGAATAGTTGGTGTGGGTGTAAGCTGTCTGGGTTGTGAGGAGAGGAGCCAGCCCCGGAGTCCTAGCGTCATTAGAGTTGGGGTACCAAGGGAGTGCGCTGGACAGGGAGGAGGTGGTGGTGAGCCTGTGGGAGGCTTGTGATGGAGTTATTGATGGTGACAGAGTCTAGGTTCTTGCCATGGGATGAGAGTGAGGGGAGGGATGGAGAAGGAGATCAAGGAAAGGAAAGGCTAGGAGATAGGAAAGGACCATTTCTGTCCTCTGAATGAATTAAGACAGGAATGGCAAAGGAGAGAGTGGTAGGGAGCTTGAGTAACCTGCATAAGCTAGAGGTGCAGCCTGGGGCTGGGGGATGCCTGAGGTATGGAGGGGAAGGGTGGCACATCCTGAGAAACTAGATTTAGGGAGGTGGGCCTGACAGTGGTCTGAAGCAGCAATAAGCAGCAAGGGGACCCCAGACCCAGCCATAAGGAGGGCTGCGGGGGGGAAATAGAACCCACTGGAGAGGCCTGCACAGGAATTCTTAAATTTTTTACTTAGTTTTCAGTGTCTAAAAAACAAGTGATTTTTCCATAAGAGATCCCCAAATGCCAACAAACTGCCAGAGCCACTGCTCTCCCCTAGATGAGCAGGGTCCCTTTGCTCTTCATACTTCCTGCCTCCTGGCACCTGCTGGACTGTTAGTGTCCCCAGGGCAGGGACTGTGGCCACCTTGAGTGTATGACAGCCAGGCACACAACCCAATGCCTGGGATGGGCAGGCGTGTGGTGAGCTGTGGATGTGTAGATGGTGGCAAGGGAAGGAAGGATGCCCAGTGGGAGAAGCAGCCTAGCGTTGGACTCTGGGCCAGTGTGTAGGGTCAACGCAGCTTTACCCTTTATTAGCAAGTTGGGTTTGAGCAGGTTAGTTAACTCACTCTGCCTCAGTCTCCTTATCTGTAAAATGGGAATTGAACCAGTCCCACCTCATAGGGTTATAGTGAGGATCCGAGTTAATATAGGAAAAGTGCTTAGAACCAGTGCCCGGTGCAGAGGAGTGTTTGGTGTTCTTACTATTACTGTGATCACTGTTATTGTTACTACAAGTTGGCCCAGGCTCTGAACAGACCTGGTGGTTACCATTCACTCAGCAGAGAGGAATACATGAACAACCAATACGCCTCTGATAGCGGACAAGTTAATTATAGGTTAGGACCAGAATGTAAGGGCCTTGAAGGCCATGCCAAGGAGTTTGGACTTTATCTCATAAGCAATAGGGAGCCATTGAAGGTTTCAGGTAGAGGACAGACATAGTTGGGTTTAGAGCAAGGGTTGGCAGACCACAGCTACAGACTAAGTACCCCCCTCCTTTTTTTAAATACAGAGTATGAGCTAATAATGCTTTTTACATTTTTAAATAGTTGACAATCCAAGAACAATATTTTATAACATGTGAAAATCATATGAAATTCGAGTTTCCGTGTCCTTAAATAAACTGTTCATGGTATACAGCAATGCACAGTCGTTTACATAGTTTATGGCTCTTTCAAGATATGACCACAAAGCTGAGTAGTTGTGACAGAGATTGTGTGGTCTGCCATGCCCCAAATATTTACTCTCTGACGCTTATAGAAAACACTTGCCAGCTTTCTGATATCCTCAGCTCTGAGCAAGGTGGGGGTATGTTCTTTGCAGGCCAGTAAGAGGCTTTTGTACCCCAAATGGCTTTAGGGTACACAGGGAGTCCCCTGGGGCCTGCAGGTACTAGAAGCCACACTGGCTGCCTGGCCTGCTGCCCTGCCTGCTGGGGGCAGGCAGTATGAAAGCATCTGCCTGTGGAAGAGCAGGATCCAAACTACTCTGCCTGGTGACAAAGTGTCGCTGCCTCAAACTGTGTGGAACACCACTGTTTTAATGAAGTGTGCGAGAATGCTCACGGAAGCATGACCATGGATGATGTGTTCAGCCCCATCCAAGTACCCAGAAGCCCAACGGATAAAGAACAAGCTGTGCTGGGGTGTGGGGAACCTCCAGCCACAGGCCCCTCCCCCTCCTCCCCCTCCCCCAGCCCCAGGCCTGCTCTCTGGGAAGATGGTGTGAGTGGGCAGGCCTGGGCACCCACCCATTCTCACACCCAGTGAGGAGCCACGCCCCCTCTCTCTCCCATACCTTCCCCAGTGGGGAGAGGCCGCTTCTGCCCTGCCCAAGGGCGTTTTGTGGTGAGAGCTGATTGAGGGTGGCATGGTTCAGATGGCATGTCCCCTCCCCCCAGGAGTTCACAAAAATCCCTCAGGTTTTCTCCAGTAAATAGGACACTTTTTAAAAGTTCATTTGACACACATGGGTTCCATTTTGACAATGGCTGGCTTTGCATTGCTAAATCCATACCTTTGGTGGAAAAGTTGCACCCCATAGGCTAGGCTCCAGGTAGAGCTACACTAGTGGAAAACCTGGGGTGCATTCCTCAACCTGGGCCCCGAAGGGGAGCCTGAGGCATGAGAATTAAGTATACAGGCCCTGAAGCCAGACTGATTAGGGTTGGATTCCTGCTGTGCTACCTACTGGCTGAGTGACTTTAGGCATGTTACTCACCCTCTCTGTGCCTTATTTTTCTCTGTCCATGGGGACAGTGAGTAAACTCCCTCCTAAGGTGTGATGAGGACATAATGAAGTAATTACACATGATGGACTTTCAAGGTGACACAGCAAATGCTCTTCTGCTTGGTGAGGGCGCAGTGCCTAGACCAAGTGCCCATCTGCAAATCACTCACCTTCCAACTGTCAAGTGTGGTGGTTGTATGGGTTCTTAGGGCTAGTAATAGCTGACATTTCCTGAGCACTTAAGTGGCCATCTGTGTGACCTCCGGAAAGTTCCTAACCTCTAGATGCCTCTACTTCCTCATCTGTAAAATAGGGAGAACTTGGCCTCCATCTTGGAAGCTGGGAGTCTTTAGGATGTGAAAGCAGTAATGAGGTGATTGAGGTGGGGCTCACCTAGCTACTGACCCCTGCCTCACTGCTCGCACCCCACAGAACTGGAAAGTGCTCTGCAGATGGGCCTGATCTTATCAGGGGTCTTTTTATTCCCGGCTCCTCTGGCTCCAACTCCCAATCCTGATTTAGCTGCCTGGTTCCCACTGCTACCTCACTCCTCAGGCTTTATGGTGTCTCTACCTGACCTTGGGCCTGGGCTTTAAGCGCTCTGACCACACCCTCTTAGCCTAGGACTTTCTGGATTCAGCCCTCTCTTCCCTTCTGGGCTTTCTCAGCCATGTATCTGGAGCTGGGATCCTTGGAGGCCCTGCAGCCCCTGGAGTTGACATACAGGGCTCTGTGGAAGGTCTTCTGTGGGGAGGACAAGACACCGTTATGACCCTAGCTTCAAAACCTGGCCTAAATCTTGCTTCCTCCAAAATGCCTTCCCTGACAGTGGGCCTGGCCATGGACACTGAGCCCATCCTCAGCACTTGCTCCGGGCCTGTCTTCCACTCTATTACATAGCTCTGAGATTTTGCTCCTGCGACTGGTTCTAGGCCCTTGATGATCTGGATATGGGGGTGAGGTTGGCAGGAGTAAGAGGATGACACACAGTACATAAGTCAGACAAACTCCAAACACAGAAGAGGCACCTTGTTGAATAATGACCCATCGTGCACTTTCAGCTTACCAAGCACTTTCATGCGCTGTTTTTGTGACCTTTACACAGTCACTGGTAGTAAGGGCTAGGTTCATCCCCACAGAGAGGTGAAGACACAGGCTCAGAGAGCTGAAAGGTGCTTGAACAAGGGAAGAGGTGAAGCTCAAGAGATAATCACTGGACTCTGGATTCCAACAAACCTCAAGGGACTTCCAGCCTCAGAGCTTCACAGACCCTGGATGATTCTTAACCACTCTAAGCCCTTCTGTCTTCTCATCTGTAAAATGGAGGCAATGTTAGTACTCACCTCCCAGGATGTTTAGGATAGTGAGGTAATGCCCAGGGCCTAGCACATAGTAAGTGCCCCATAGATGTTACCTTAAAAAGTCAACAAACCGGACTGGACATTTTCCCAAAGCAGGTGCTGTGGGAGGTGCAGACATGCTGCTGACAGGTTCTGGTTCTCCAGGGTCTCTTTTAGGCCACACAGTGAAACAAATGAGCACCAGCAGATCGCTTGCAGAGCTGGAGTTCAGCCCTGCCTGGCTGGGGCTGGACACCTCCTCAGCCAGGGGATTGGTCTCCCCTGCTGGAGAATGGAGATGATTACAGAGCTAAAAACCCTGGAGCTTGCTGCGAGGCCCCATGGTCTTGCACTAATAACTACTATTTATTATGCCCTTATTTTGTGCCAGGCACAGAGGTAAGTCCTTTTATACACTAAGGCCCTGGCCCATTACTGGGGCTCAATTAAGATTTGTGGGATTAATGAGAAGTTAATTCGAATCTTCACAAAAGCCCCATGAGCTTCCCTTGATTTACATATGAAGGAACTGGAGCTCTGAAAGGTATACTCTGGTGAGCACACAAGTACATCAGCGGGCCAGTGGAGCTAATGCTAGGGGCGCAGAGTTGAGATTCACGTCGCTCCCCATCCACAACCCTTTCTGCAGGCGCTGGGTCTGTGGAGCCCCGAAGTCGCCACAGCTCGTACCCCGCGGGGACCGAGGAGGATGAAGAGGTGGAGGAGGAGCTCAGCCCATTCCGGGGCCGCTCGCGCTCAGCGCCTCCCAACCTCTGGGCTGCACAGCGCTATGGCCGGGAGCTCCGGAGGATGAGCGATGAGTTCGAGGGTTCCTTTAAGGTGAGCGCCGGTCCAGGCGACGCAGAGGACTAGTCCCGGAGCATGCCGGGTTCTGTACTCCCTGGTCACCTCCCACTGGGCAGTCCCGTTCCGGAACCCAGGGCATGGCGGGATCTGTAGTTCTAAGGTTCCCCGCCGCCGTTCCAGGCCAAAGCTTCTGAGGTCCCTAAATCCCTGGAGCGCGAAGGTTGCGGGCATCGGTGCTCCCAGCCAGCCCTTTCGAGTGTCCGGGTTTTTGCCTTCAACTTCTGAACCACTTCTTTAATTCTTGAATTGTGATACCATCCTCCAGGTGGTAAATCTCCGACTCTGGCCCCAATATACCCGGTCATAGGCGTCCTCTCCCCCCGCCCCCCAGCACCAAGCGTCTGAGATTTAACTCGTCCCATTCCTAAGGGCCCAAGCAAGCGCTTTCTCGTGTTTAGATAAGTGGTTAGGAGACCCCTCGGTACTGGGCATGTACCTTCCCTGGGTTTTCATTTAGACATGGGATTCCGGAAGTGGAGGGCCCTGACTCGGGCGGCCAGGATAAGCTAACTCATTTATCCCTTTCTTCCTCCCACCCCGAAGGGACTTCCTCGCCCGAAAAGCGCGGGCACAGCGACGCAGATGCGGCAAAACTCCGGCTGGACGCGCATCTTCCAGTCCTGGTGGAGAGGAGGCTCCGCCCCCTCCCAATGACCTTCGGTCCCACACGGCGAAGTTCCCCCTTCGCGCGCCGCCGTTGGCGGCCATCTTGGGTATGGGCGGAAGTCGTTCCCGCAGGCCTATGCAAAAAGGATTAGGTCTGTCCCTTTCGGAAGTGGTCTGACCCAGGGCCCGATTCCCTTCCGGTGTGTGCGGGGACCCCCCGGGGGTTCGACCCCATCGGAAGTTTTGAAGTTTGTCCGCCCGTAGCCACCGGAAGTAGCCCCCTGACCCCGGCGCTGGGCTGCCTCAGGCGCCTGCACCAAGTTGCGAATCGGAATACTCTCCAGAACCTTTTCCTCCGCGGTGATCCTGCGGGCCGACGCTGGCCACGAAATGTGCTAATAAAACCTGCGTCTGCGCCTCCCAGTCTCCTCTGTCCGTCGCTAGAGGCTTCGCGGGCAGGGGGAGCGCTACTTTGTTTCGAGAGATGCCCCCGTTTTACACCTAAGGAAAACTGAGGCCCTTTCTGAGTGATTTATCCTGGGACCGAGACCAGGAGGCGGCGAGCAGAGCCAGGGTTTCTTGGCACCCGGGAAGCGGAGGGCGGCCGGGCCCCAGGGACCTTCAGGTCCTTATCTCTAATCTGGTAATTGGGAACCGCCGGCCGGCCGCCGGAATTCCGCGCTCTGCAAACCGTGCCGCCGTCCCCCAGGGAGGGTCATTTGTTCCTATTTGGGTCAGTCCTTTAGAGCAGCTACTGTGTGGCCGGCCTGGGGCCAGCGCTGCTCAGGGAACTGGCAGGGCGCGCAGGGCGGGGGAGGGGGCGGTGGAAGGCTCGGCCAAGGTTTGTGAATAGAGTGATCACTAGGGAACCAGAGAATCTTCACCCGGACCTGGGAGCAGAGCTCCGAGCTCAATTCCAGAAAGATTTATTGGCGCCCCCTATAGACCAGCCAGTGATTTGTACCGGGTATACAGAGATGAATTAATTAATACACAGCTCTTGCCTTCCGAAGCTTCCTGGCAAGAGATTCAGTTTCTCAGAGTGAAGTTAATGCCAGCTCTAAAAGGGGCTGGAACCAGGGTGAGGGCGGCTCCTTCTGGCAAGGGAAAGTCAGGGAGGTGAGTTAGCGCTGGGACTTGGAGAGAGGGGTGAGGGAGCTGTTATTCTGGTCAGAGTAAAGAGTGGACCCATGGAAAAATAGGGGTAGCAGCAGAGGCCAGCCTTCTGAGGGGCTCGAATGTCATACCCAGGAGTTTGGAGTTTAGCCTGGTCTTTGAGAACCGGGGGATGGACGTGTAGTGTTTCCATAAGTGGAGGCCAGCCAAGAAGATAGGAGATGGCTGCTGAGGTGCCTGGACACACAACAGAGTGGGCAGATTTGGGGCGAGGGCAAGGCCTGACCGCAGAAGCAGGGAAGGCCTGCGCAATGGTCCTGACCCTAAGGGAGCAGGGCTCAGGGTAAAGGTTGCTTGCCTTGCGAGAGCCCCACTCTGGAAGTCCAGTTTCTCTGACTTCCCCACCCCATCTGTTTGCCTGAGACTGCAGCAAAAACAAAGAAAGAAAACACTCAATTGGCAGGAGATAAGCCCAGATAAGAGGCTGCCTTCCTCTGGAGGAGGGAGGCAGTCAGCCCGGGAAGCTCTGCCAGGAAGCTGGGAGAGGCCTTGAAGGAGCGCCAGCCTGACCCTGCAGCAGAACTCGGGCCACACCCTCGCTGCAGGGTCTCTGCCACTCTGCGCTGTCCTGAGGCAGGAGGGGAAGGCATGGAGCGGGTCCTCCAGGCTGGCCGCAGACTGTGTGCCATAGAGGGTCCAGGCCTGCCCTGCCTCCAGGTCAGGACGTCTTGACTTGGCCTGGCATGTGACTTCTGCTTTGGGCCTCAGTTTCCTTATCTGTAAAACAGGCATAACAGCTCCCTCACAGGGATGAGGGGATGCTGGGTCTCCCAGCCCCTGTGTGTATGACTGTCAGCTCCCCTTCTCCCAAGGGTCACTGCCAGGCCCACCCACTTCCCACCTGTCACTGAGAGCCTGGCTGCTCTGATGATAGGCAGGTCATGAGCTGCCCGGCTCCACTCCTCGTCCACCTCCCCGTACACAGTCAACGGCCTGTGTGGAGCCCAGAGCAGCCTGAGCGGAAGATGCTAGGCACTCAGGTCATATCAGGGCAACAGGAAGCGGGGCAGGGAAGGCTTCCTGAAGCAGAGGCCGGAGCCTCTGTGAAGAGAGGACAAGAAGAGCCCAGAAGGGAGAAAAGTAAGGTCTAGAGGCGGAGAGCATAGAGGGGGAGGTCAGAGGGCCCCTGATGTCATGTCATTGAGAAGATCTGCAGACACCCCCCCGCCCCCACCCCCGCAAGGAGGTCTCGAGGTTCAAACCCAGCCACCCTTTGTTGGGGGCCTAACCTCAACCCCACAGAGCCCACAAGCCTACTTTATAGATGAGGAAACTGAGGTTCCAGAAGTGGCAGAGCAAGCTTAGGGCCCAGAGTCCTCTCGAGCACTGTGCCACTCCAAACCACGCTCCACACAGGGTCCCTGAAATCCACTTTTATTCATGTAAAAAAATCCCCAGAGAATAGAGAAAGACTATGATCCCTACTTCCCAGAGCTCGGAGTCTCCACGCAGTGTTCCCTGGGGAAGTGAGGAAGACTGCGCCCACTCTGGGGAGCGGGTATCATGGGGGGTAAGGCCCCCACCCAGGCCTTTTTGGCCAGGAGTGACCCAGCACCTTCCCTAGGACTGAGGGCAGGAAGGAGGGGTTGGAGACTAATGGGGTCGCAGGAGGGTGAAGAAAGGGAGTTAGTGTGGGATGCTCGCCTCAATTTAAAAAAATAAAATTTCTAAAGATAAAAAGTTAAAAAAAAAAAAAGAGAGCATTAGTGTCTTAGCCTCCGCCCTCCTCCCAGTGCCCACCCTGGCCCTGTGGCCACCTCTTGCTCAGCCAGTTCAGAGCTTCGTATTCTCCTCTTGGCTCTCCGAGTCAACGCCAGACAGGTGTCCGCTGCTCCCAGGCGCGTGACCGTTGCTGGCACATGCCACCAGATGCCCGTCCCCCAGCCCCTCCGGCATCTCGCCTAGCAGGCTCCGGCGGATCTCCTGGGGCAGCCTTGCCCGCTGCTCCTGACACTCCTGGGCCAGCTGGGCCAGCAGCTACAGGAGGAGGAGTGTCACAGGACAGGCCACCCAGCATTCTGCCTGCCACCCACCAGGCCACCTCACCCAAGGCCTCACCTTGGGCTCCTCTTCCACCAGCTGCTGTTGGACCTGCTGCTGGGCAGCCACAAGGCGTTCATGCCGCTGCTTCTGGGCCTCCTCCAGCTGTCAGTGGTGGGGGACAAGGGCTCAGCCGAAGGTCTCTAAGGGAGGGGCCAGGCTCCTAGGGTTGTGTGGCCAGGGTTCTGAGATGACTCTTACAGTAATGCTCTAGCCTGACTCCAAAGTCATGGGGCACTGTTGCAGACAGTTGGCTTTGGAGAGGATGTGGGTGAGAGGAGGTTGTGGGGCCTGGAAGGAAAGGCTCTAGAAGCCCCTCTAGAGTGACATCACACCAGGCCAGCACTGAGGGAAGAGGGTGGGCTAGGGTGGCACCCGAGCCATACTCACCCGGCGGATGGAGTTGACCGACTCGGTGATGTGCCGACGGTTAATCTCTGTCAGTTCCCTGCACAGGAGCAAGGCAGGATGGGCTCAGTGCCATGCACCCAGCCCTGCCTGCCCAGCACGCAAATGGCTCCCGGCCCCAATGCCCTTACGCTTCCTTCTTATGTTTCTCCCTTGTCTTGGCCTCTGAGATACTGTTGTGGCGTTTCCTGTCCAGTATCTTCTGCAGTTCCTTCTTCTCTCTGGAGGAGCCGGTGAGAGAAGGCTGAGTGGCAAGACTGGGGGCTCTAGTCCTTATGCTGGCACCAGGGAGTTCCCTGCCCCACCCACCCAAGCTCCTCTGCCTTCACCTGTCGTTCGTCTCCTTCAGCCTCTTGCACTGAGTTGTGTGAGCATCCAGGACAACCTCCTTGAGCCGTTGCTGAACCTGTGGACAACGGTAGCCAATAGGTGAGAGAGGTTGATGACAGGTCTGTGCAGGAGGCAGGCTCTTCCTCGCCACCGTGTACCAACCCCCGGTCCCCCCAACAGCCCCACCTGTCTCAGGTGCTCCAGCCTCCGCTCAGTCTCTGCATCTGCCTGGGCCTCACGCAGCTCCAGCAGGATCTGCACCTGTCTCTTCTGGAACTCTTGATACCGCTTCACTTCTTCCTCCTCCTTCTCCTCCCGGCCTCTGTGGGAAGAACCCCTCCGGGTGATGCTCAAGTCATCACATGGACTTGGACTGCCAGGGTGGAGGGGGGCAGGGCATATCCCAGCTGGCAATGGCAGACGGGAGCCTGGTGACAGGGTTTGTTATGCCAATGAGGAGACCAGTTTGCTCCGCCCAAATAATGGGAGCCTGTCTGAGCAACAGTCTCTTGAAACATGCTCCTCGTGGGGGTCTTCTAATGAGGTATCGCTTCTGGGCGGGAAGAGAGTGGGACAAAGTGTGGGAAGCCTCCTCTCTTTTTCTTGCACCAAACCTTCCTCCCTGGGAGTCAAGGAGCAGCCCTTGGCTATCCTCCATGCCCACCTAGCGCAGAAGCAGAACCCCACATGCAGTTCACCCCCCATATTCACATCAAAGCATGCAGCACACAGGCAGGCTGGACACTCACAGGACACCTGGCTGGTGCCTGCACCTGCTCTCGGCCTGGGCCTGGGCCAGGCTGTCCAGCAATCGGCGAGTGAGGGCAACTGCCTTCCGTTGATGCTTCTTGCACAGCTCCCGCAGGTCTCGCTCTTGCCGGCTGCGGAGCTTCACCAGAGCCTTGTGGCTTCGGAACTCGTCCAGTGGGGCCACGGCCACCTCTGTGAGCAGAAGAGCACAGGTGAGCTGGGCTGCGGCAGGGCAACCCTGCAGGAGCACCACATACCCTCCAGGTGTGGCCCTGCCCCCTTGGGTAGACCCACCTCAGAACAGGTACCACCCCCATAACAGCTCCGCCCCTACCTGAGAGGATACTGGCAATGAGATCATCCCGCTGACCTGGAGAACAGAGGCAGGACTATAAAAAGCTGGAGGAGAGGACAGCGAAGGTACACCCCTCAGTCCTGCCCCTTACCAGGCTGCCCCTTACCTGGGCTGCTGAGGGAGGGGCTGGCGGGGGAGGTGACAGGGCCTGGGGGCCGACGGGGGGAGGTGTCCATTTGGCTGGGTGTGGGGTTTGGGGTCGGCTGGGACCCCAGCTGCTGAGACTGGGTCTCCTGACATGTCTCCTGGTTAGCCTGAGCCTGTGGGGGAGAAAGCAGAATGTTCTTTCCAGAAATGCTATTCTCTACAGGCCCTTTTGTCCTTCCCAACCTCCCTGGGCTGCCCAATGCCCCTGGTCT